GAAAATGTACATTCTATATTTATAATTTCAATATGAAATACCCTTTGATACAAATATTAAATCGCATCGTTCTCGATCAATAAAGTCAACGTACATCATATCGGGGGAGAACACGTTTTTTTTCCTTTTCCTTTTTTTTTCCCCCCCCCCCATTCAAACGGCTGTTCGCGCAAATCGAACAGAATTCGATAAAAATGAATTAATACCACGAACAGATTGTATGTTTTTCGAATACTCGCGAATAGCAGACTCGAGAAAGGGGGCGCGTCTTTTCACGCGTTCGTAAGTTCTTTTAATAAGAGAGAAACGCATGATATCGTAAATAGCAAACACGAACATACGGGGCTCGATGATAGAAATCAATCGAATGACAAAAGACACATGATGATCGGTATTGTTCCCTATGTCGAGACACATACAGGATACGTACAGATCGCGATACAATATGCTGTTGGGAAACATTACAGGTTTCTGATATTCTGAGAGTCACGCTAGTCGTTTCCGATTTCTCGCAAGCGGATTTTCGCTTTGCTCGCTGTTGTTTTATTCTTCAAACAGGACAGTGACAGCTAATCGCAAGTGAAACAGACGTTGATCGTCGATAATTGCGGGTAATTCGTGGAGAAAGTGTAGCATATTTGGAATACCAGTTTGTTTGACCCTCAACTAGTATCGCTGGGTGACTATAGTTTATAGAAATTTATCTTCACGATTACCAAGATTTATTTACTTCAATTTTATTCGGTATTTTACACTCTTCTGTGACTGAGATTAGCAACAAAATTAAATAGAATTAGAGATTGCAAAATTAAGTTAATTGATCTTTGAATCATCATGAGAAGGTCAGAGCGAATAGAAATTTACAGCGGAGGATGGAAGCAAACAAACAAAATTGCATCGTGTCCTGCATATAGCTAATAAAGTTCTATATTTCAAGCTCTCGATGATAATAAAAAAAAAAAAAAAAAATGTAAAATACAACTTTGGTCTAATTGACAAATAATGATAATGCAACGGATTTCGCGTTGCGGTGCAGGTAATTTGAAAATAGCGTTATTCCAGTTTACCTTCACTTTATCGGATTAAAGAAAAGAAAAGAAAAAAAAAAAAAAA